AACTTTTCTGTGGCCATCTTCGCTCCAGGATGGGTATATGAGAGTCAAAGTGATAAGAGCGAATTCCGCACCCATCAAGACAAGTGAGGCCAACTCACCATGTGCAGTGCACACCTGGTGAAGCTCTGCGGGCTTAATGACACCGAGATGCTCTGCTTCCCCCTGCAGGTTCTGGGCTCTTCTCTCAGATTACTTGTACATCCACCGACCAGCTTCACAGCTTCCATTCATCTCCTCTTTCTGCCAGGGCTTTGGGAAAGCAGTGTACTGGAAAGGACAGGTACTCACAGACTGGAAACTAAAAGGAGTAAAAGCTTAAATGCTCAAAACCAACCCCACCACAACAACTAGTATCAGTATATGTATATAAAATGACAATGAACAATGCTCAACTCTTAACGTGCATGAAGTTTTTAAATGCCCGTGTCTTTAATCTTTCACTCTGATGACTAATTAATTGTTTAGTTTTAGGCTGATGATGTTGTCGTTTATCATCATGCATGATAAACCTGTAGCATTTTAACTGTTTTATGCAAAAAATCAAATTCTTTATGTCAGAATTATTTCCCAAAGTGTTTTTAAAATTTTTTAAGGCATAAAAAGGTGGGAAAAATGTATTTTAATATAAAAAATAATGTTTAGAATTTTTTGTTCTAGGTGATCAGTTGTAATTTTCTCCAAATACATCAGTAGTATTAGTCTTTAAGGGGTTAAATGATGTCACAATTTTCTTTTTTACCTGCAATAGTCCTCTACAGTAGAAGGAGGGACTGGATATTCCTAAGTTGCTTACTTGTTTTTCTGCCATATTGGATGAAAATCCAATATGGCAAAAATTTTCATGCACTTGCAGTGGACAGCCAGCAGTGGATAGGGTATGATGCATCAGTGGTCTGTATTTATAACATAAAAATCCACAAGAAACTCTAGAAAATGGCTTTTAGATAACTGCCCACTGCAGTGACCGCTATGCATGAAAGGGCTAATGACTGTCAGATCTTTATGAAGTAGATCAAGCACTTTAAAGTGGATCTAGAGGTAAAAAGAACCGTTTGGTTCCTGTGTGTTGCAGCATGAGATGGAAAAGAGCTGGTTCAACCTGGCTGCTCAGGAGGTCCAGCCGTTGTACTACCACATGGCTCTGGAGGACAGAGGCTGGGTCAGGAGCAGCGGCTGCCCTGAAGACGCCTGGAATGGAGGTTGCTCGCTGCTGCTGGATGGACTCATCCCTGCAACTTTAAGCACTCCAATTTGTGCCAAGTACAGTGTTTACATTCACATTAACTATTTTACAAACTCTATATTTATCATGAGGCAGAATAGAACATATGGCTTCACATGGTGATTTAATATGTTTCTTGTGTAAGAACCCAACAGGATTATTTTAAAGCTACACATTGGAGAGGATCAGAGATCAGTGTCATGTTCATGCTATAAGCATTAAAAGAGTGACAGTGACTTTGTGTATTTGCCAGGATTTTCTCTCTCCATGTGCCGCTGGATTCCAGGATCATGGTAACTCTGGTGTACAAAGCGTCTGCTGGGATCACCGTCTCTTTGCAGCTGAGGACAACAGACGCGTCTCATTGTTCCCACACTGATGTCCATGACGTCACACGTGAGTTTCTTGTGGAACACAACCTCAGGACCAATATGAAGAGAAACACACAGCCAACAATCCACTGGATTTGTTGTTGGATCAAAAACACACAATGTAGGAGTTCTGTAATAACTCTCTATTTACTAAAATATACTTTAGTAAACTTTTGGGCAAACATTCTTTCTTCAGTATAACCTTACATTTGAACTTAAAAACAAAACATGTATATTAACAAATACTTGATCTTAAATACAAGTCAAGTTAGAAATGTACAATCAAATATGTTTTTCTTTGAAGGAAAACAATCCAAAGCTGATTTGGATGTTTTTGAAAAGGAAAGCAGTCCGTCTTAAAGTTTGAGCTGATGAATGTTCTGTGTTTCTCCACAGTAAGCAGTGTGACCCCTGAGACTGTTGGAAGCGGACCGCAGCCAGAGAGCCAGATCTCTGAGCTCTGTGGAAACAGAGAGCTGCATGGATGGACTGTCAGGTGAGGTACAATGGCAGCGGAGCAGCAGTTCAGTTGAGTACACACGGCGTAAATGTCTGTTCTTTCTGTTGTTCCAATGTTGCTCGGAGCAGATGTTCACAACTGGAGCTTCATGGCTGCGTCCTCAGAGAAGTGTGTGTCCTTATCCATCGGGACGGGGAGCCTCAGGACACGACTTTCAGCTGCAGAGTGGGAGAGGTCATGGTGAGACGATGACTACTCTCTACAGAGTACATGAATCATTTTCTAGATGGGACAGAGAAATAGAAAGTGTTGCTGGAGAAGATTTGCTATATGAAGTCTTTATAGTTTTGATGCATCTCAAGGACCACTTCCAACATAGTTTGAAGTCATTTTTTGTTTGGGAAAACTGAGGACGTTTTTTTAACTGCCTTCTGGCATTATTGTAAAGGGCTGTAATGAGTCTCATTCTACAGTTATCAGGTAAATCTCATTGAAACATGTGGCATCTAGAGTTCACTAATCTTGCTTTCTATGACGGCAATCAATCAAGTTAATTTTATAGCACATTTCAACAATTGAAACATAACATTTTGTCTGATGGCATTATTACACATCAGAGTGTTTATTAAATCTTTCATTTATTCTCTAAACAGGTGTGTTTTAAGTCTGCATTTAAAGGAACTCATTGTTTCAGCTGTTTTACAGTTTTCAGAAAGTTTGTTCCATATTTGTGTTGCATCATCTGAATGCCGTTCCTCCATGTTTGGTCATGTAGATAAAATGGCCTAGTTAAAGGACAGACCTATCTTTGTCATATAATTTAAGTCAGTTTCATATGCTGTGATCTCGTTTTACTCTTAATTATTTATAGTTTTGACTTCCGATTTATCCTGCCATGTGCATTTTTCAGTCCCTGCAGAAACGCGTCAGGATCATATTTATGTTTTCTGAACTTTTCTACTAGATTCAGTGAAGAACCCGTCTGGCCATTACCTTCCTATGCAGTTCTGCTCAGTCTGTCAGTGGGTCTCAGGTTATTTTTTAACACCTGAACTAATTTCCTTTGTCAAAGGTTACATCTTGGATCAAGTGGAGATTGTTCTCAAACACTTATAAACTCATTTTAAAGAGGATTAAACACGCTGACATTGAGTTTCTGGAATGGCCTTGACCTCAACCATTCTTAAACTTTATACTTCAAAAGTCATCTAACCCAATAAACAACTTAGATCAGTTCTTCCATTTCAGATACCAACAGTGATATAATATCCATCCAGAATGAATGTATCTATGTAGATCCAATAATTAAAACAAGCGGTTTACGTTATAGATCGAACCTGACATGTCTTGAAGGAACTGTTTTCCACCTGCTGTGTTTCTGTCAGATTCTGGACGTGGGTACTCTGCAGCCACCCACCGACCCCGTTCAGGGCTTGTGCATCGATGACGTGGTTTGGCTGCGTGGAGCCGGTTCAACACCAGAGACTTCGTCCCCCTGCCTGCGCCTCAATGCTACCCTGCGCTGGGACTACCCCGTGGAATCTGTGCGCCACTTCAGGGTGTACTGGAGAAGGCTGAGAGGACCGGACCCAAAAATCCCTCCAGGTCAGCTGGAGCTGCTGGCCCGGGCCTACTCCAACCAGTTCAGGGTGACAGAGCTGCTGGTGCCTGAGCCACCCACAGTGTTGGAGCTGCTGGTGGAGCCGGTGACCAGGTGGGGCTCCCTCGTCCCAGAGAGCCAATGGGGAAGAAGACAGCTCAGCTACACAGAATGATCTGAACATTTATTTCACACAAATAACTGTGTGCAAATACGTTCCAAACTTTAAATTTATACATTTTGAGCATGAATGTTTTTTTTGAAGCAGATGGGATCATCTCAAACAGTGAAACCACCTGAACCCGAGCTCAGTTTTTATTTTTAAGTAATAAATAATGTGGTTAGAGTAACAAGCCCATCACAACCCCAGTTCTTTTTGATCCAACCATTGTTTCTTATAATCAGATTAAGATTATAATCATAATTTAGTTGTTGGAATCATGGACATTTACTTGTTTATTCAATTCCAGGCTTCACATATTATGTTTTTATGTTGCCTGTTTACTTTTATATAGTCCACTTGATCTCACAGTCGAGTGAATGAAGCACCACAGCACATGGAAGCTTCATTCCACCATCACTCGTTACTAGGGCAACCTCTGAGTCTCAAACTGCATTCCTGGAAAAGTTTGCAAAATGTGTCCTTCTGTGTAAGAAGGACACATTTAAAAGCTGTAGGACTCTGGCCTTGAAGAAATGTATTTCTGAGACCACGCAAACAATCCTGGTCATCATAAAAGGCATAACGATGAGTTGCTACGTAAAAAGTGAGTTGGCCACTCACTGACCGGAAGTGGCTGGTCTCATTTAAATCCATAAATTGATAAGATAGCTTATTACTGTGAAAAACCAGGTGGCTACAAGCTTCCATTATTGGTCACGCTGAGAAGGAGCTTTCCATAGAGAAATAGAGCAAGTTTTGAAGGATAACCAGAAAATTGAGTTTGATTTCATTTCAGTTATACTAAGTATCTTTTTATACAGTGTTTGCATGTACCTGTTTTCAACTGTGAGCACTAAACATTTTGTATTGGTTAACGACATACCAGCTCAATAAAATACAGAAACGTATGCAAATATAAAATGTCAAGTGTTCAGGTGCATCAATATTCTTGCAAGGCAATACAGATGGCTGACTCAAAAGTGTTGAAAGAAAAACAAACACAACTCAGTCCCAGTTCTTTCCTGTCATGGTTTCCTTCTGCAAAGCAAATATGTTGTTTCAGTGACCCGGCTCCACCGCCGTGTACAGTGAGGTTTCTGTCAGTACGATGAGGGTCAGCTAAAACGGCTCCCATACATCAATTTAAGTATTGATAACTCCACTGTAAGAATGGAACACAGTCATGCCAGACATTCCTTCATTCTTTATTCTATACAATTTGATCAGGACATTATTGTGGAGGATATCATCCATGTCAGGACTAAAACGTTTTTGCTCCAATTTTCATTTCTATCACTTTCCAAGTGGAAAAGTGGAGCCTAAACTTTTTCAACACCCTTATTCAAATTCAATTCAAAATGCTTTATTGATCACAATGGGAAATTAAATGTTATAATTCATTAATTCAAATTCTTCAAAGAGAGTCACTATAGATGGTGATGGCAAAATGATGGGGTAGATTATAGGGGCATAAGCCTCAGATCCTTTGCAGATGGTGCAAAAGGTTCTGTTTTATGGTCATTCATCACCTGCAAATCAATTCACTCAGTTAAAGTTAGTTTAGATCCACGTCTCCCAAAGAAGCATGCCAAGAAAAAATGAAAGCGTGCAAGAGTATTTATAAAAGAAAGTTGTATTTAGTGAGTGGAATTTACAGAGCTTTAAGTCAAGTGAACCTGATATCAAAGTAAATTTTGTAAAGCAAGTAAACAAAAAAACAAACAAAGAATTTCTGTGATTGTCAGAGCCGTCCCAGCTGCCACAACATTCATTCAGTCCTGCTGCGTGATCATCTTCAGCATCTGCAGGGCCATGGCTCCCTGGTCTGAAGGGATCTGAGAAACAACAAGATAACAGTTTAACACTAAATTTCTACCATTTTGCTATAAACTATGCACTTTGAATTTAATTAGCTTCATTAAAAATAATAAGAAAAATCACACCTCAAGCTGCATTAGTCAACCCCAAACAGAAAGCAAAGTAAAAATCTGAGGACTTCTTGATAAAATACTTTTATACCAGAAAAGTTTGCATCTTACAGTTCGACCATCTACATTGTATTACAGGTCTACTCTACACCCTTCTATTCTTCCAAACTAAACAGATCAGTGTTTCATGAAATACAATATTTAAAACTAAAATAGTTAGAACCAGCTCAGATTTTACCATGTGACCAGCTTTGAGGATCCAGTAGAATGCAAAGTTCTTGTAAGTCTTGAAAAAGGCTCCAGTGGTTCCTGGGGAGGCTGGGTCATCCAGAGGGGTCCACCTCAGCTGGCTAAAGCCAGAAAGCCCCTCCCACTTTAGCTGCTTCACCCAAAGCTCCTGACCTGGAAGAATAAAAATGTGCTTTTACATCCGGAGCTCAAACATGAGGGTTGGTTACATGCGTTCACCAGAGATGTATTAGTGTCAAGTTTTTCTTGGAAAACCATTATATTTCCTTCTGCTTTAGTCTTTTCATAACTTACTAAATTAGAAGGGGGGTGGGGAGGTCATGGTGTATTATCAAAGCACTCAGTGAAAGAAGTTTGCCAACTGATGCTGAAGAGGTTGGAATAGTTTGGTTTATAGACACATTCCACTTTAACTGGGGATGAATTTCCATTGTGGTACAACTGGGTATGAATAACATTTTGATCAAATGTAGACTATATAAATAAATGATCACAATCATTTTAATTGTTGTAATTTAGCAGTAGTAACAGGTGAAGAAATTAAAGCCAACTTTATGCACATCAGGATTTTAAAAACAGACGTTGATGGCATTTGCAACAGTCTTTAGCCTCTTTTTAGTGGTCAGCATAACTTGACTGACAGTAAAAGCAATCCGAGTGATTAATCTTTAACACACAGAACCTTAACAGATTTCCCAAAGGCTGCCAGCGTCTCTAGTGTTAAAGATGTCACTGATTTGGAAGCTCATTTACCCATGGTGTCCACTATAAGGTCCAGCTGGCCATTGTAAACTGTCACATTGACTCCAGCTGTCAACAACTGGTCCACTATATCCACCACTGGCCTCATGAAATCACCCGCCATGTTGCTGAACACGTCTTCTGCTTGACCTGGAAACCAGAATAGATTAGGACAAAGAAGGCAGAGAGGACATGAAACATAACACTGTGATGTGTATCAGACAGTCTATATATGGAGATTTAAACCAAGTACCTCCCCAAGTGACATTCTGAGGGATGATGGCCAGTTTCTTCCTTATTGGTCCGTTCATCAGTTCGTTCAGTGATTGCTTGTGCAGAGGGCGAATGTGGCGGTGGGCTTGCAGAGCTGATGCAGAGAGGAAAAGCACATCAGTTAGCTAGAGCAATAATGCTGGACCCAATCTTCATAAATTCATTTGGTAAGTGGAGTCTAGGTTTAAAGAGTGCCATACAGATGAAGTTTTCTCCTGCAGCAGTAGTGACTTTCTCATCTGGTTGCTGGGTTAGAATGTTGTAGAAGTTCACCCCATTGGTGTTCTGAGAAGAAAACAATTTTGCTGATTTGAAAAATAAATCTTGTACGTCATTTCAGTCCTATTATAACCCTCTCCTAAAGGTCATGTGCTCAGTACAATATGTTCAGCAACACGGCACCAAAACATTCCTGTCTTGTCAAGAATAACACCAAACCCTGTGGAGGTCTTCTGGATCAGTGCATCCCAAACGCCTCATGACCAGACCACAAGCTGGAACTGGTAAAGTAACTCCAGATCCGGGCATTCACAGCATTTCACACCTCAATAAACTACATAGGTATGTGGCTAGTGATTCCTGACAATCTGAAAATAATAATCTGTAATGAATAAATCAGTTGTATCAATAACTGCCATTTGGGAAATTATTAATACCCACTGATAATCAAAGTGATTATCCCCAACAAGCCATGGGTACTGTATGATTGGTTGAAGAATGCATTTTTTTAAAGAATTGTTTTCAAGCAAACTGTAAACTGAATTCTTATTAGGTTGTATTACCAACAGCTGTCCACTGTTAGTGCGGCCAGTGAACACATCATTTAGTAAATCCCACTGGTTTTGGAACTTGGACTTGGGGTTTGTTGCCATTTCCACCTCCTGACTCCAACTTCAGAGGAAGATGAAACATGATATAAGAAGCTGCCTGCAGCTCTTGGTTCACTACTGTCTGCTCCAGGAAGGGCCGACCCAAGCCTCCATGGGGCCCAAAGTCAAATTTGGTTTTGGGGCCCTCTAATTCTGCTAACAATGTGGACTGGCTGCAATCAGCAGCCCGATCATTGGATCATTCACACACCTGCTATAAACTTATTGTATCTCTGGCAGTGTTGTTTACATACAGGAAGCGTGCGTGCCACCAGGGGGCACCAAAAGCATTTTTTTTCTTTTTATCCATAAAAGAATTTCTGCATAATCAAATATACGATATATCTTATGATTGTATATTATTGTAAAAACAAATCGCTTCATAGTGAAATTGTATGTTTTTGATATTATAATAACATAGAAATTATTACCAGAAAAAAAATAAATAAATAAAATAATCAGCTCCACTGAGGGGGCCCCTTAGTGGCCCTAGGGCCCTAAGTGGCTGCTTAGCAAAGAACATTGTGCTGAAACGACTCGCCTGTTTTGCTGTTGGCAGGTTTTGGCCGAACGACAACGCTAATGTGATCAAATTTTCTTTGACATCAAGTGTGGTATAAGAACCACACTTGATGGCTGTGTCAGTTTTTCAATTAGAATAGCTGAATAGTTCAGTTGTGAGAGATCACAATTGTTATGGCTTGAAGGTTTAAAGAAACCTTTTGGGTGTACAGGCTCCAGTGTGGTACCAACCTGCTCCACTACCGTCTCAGTGACCGACCACAGCTCTGTGGCTTTCAGAAACTGCTGCTGCTCCACAGCTTGCTTCACCTTCTCCGCTGCACTGTTGACATCGGCCAGGCCGTTGTCGTCCAGCAGGGACTGCACACAGCAGGTCAGAGGAAAATTCAACAGAGCAGCTTGGATCCACGGTTGTTAAGGAAACGCACTCTGTGTGTTACTCACAGTGGTGTAAAGGTATGGACCCCATGTCATCACAGAGTCTGGTAACAAAAGACGTTCTTACAGTGAGTGGCATGTCGTCACTTAAATCTCTACACATTTACTAAGCGCAATTCACACTCTAAAAAATATTTTGAGCATCCATGTAAAACCACTAATTAAGTTCTAAAAACAAAAGTGATTTTAAGTTCAAGTACATAAAAATAAAGTCATTTACATTTTTCAAAAAAATATCCACATATAAAAGATAAAAAAATCCAAAACAGCAGAGATGGATCAACGATTGGCTGACCTTTAACAATTTACTATGTTTGTTGAAGTCTGAACTGTTGACTGAAAATATGACCAATTAATTTTTTCCCCCTGATGATTATAAAACAAAAGGTGAGATGATGTGCTGTTATTTTTTTGGTAGAGATAGTAGCTTTGAATCAAACAGATCCCTGTTTGAGTGAAAAAGAAAATACATATATTACCTGAAATTGTAAATCACTTATTACTAAATAAAGCCAGTTGAAGGAAGGTTGGCAATTCCTGATCTCTGGCACTTTGGAGTCTAATGAATACATGCGTTTTAAATTACTACACCATCTAGTGGTGTGACATGAAATGCTGCCACAAAGGGAAACTTGCAAAAGCATTAAGGTCCGAAATCTGTCTGTGCAGCATTCTTCTGGTGTTTTTGATTGGAACTGGGGACAAAGGTTGACCTGGAGGGTTAAAAACTGACTGATACTGACCCAACGGGGAAATCCACGAGTCTCCAAGTGCCACGCCTGCAAAGTTGCATTTCACTGAGCCTTGGGCTACAGCCTGTAAACAGACAATTCACCCAGATTAAAAACCACACCTTGTTATCAGAAAAAGCTAAAGTACTCTTATAATTTTATATTAAAACATGTTCAAGTCATATGAGTTAATGACAGAACACGTCTGCTTAGAGTCCTAAAAAAAAATAAAAAAAAATGCAAACTTACAAATCTGATTTATTTGTGGCTCATGTGGCCCTTCGTGTGATACTTGCTTTACAAAGCTTTTACTCCATCATTACAGCTAATGCTCTGTAAAGCCATGGATGTGATGCTATAGACCCAAAGAGCAGTAACCTCACCTTGCTGAGTTCCAGTGAGATGGCAGCGGCCATCTTTCCCCCATATGACTCAGAGAAGATGTAGAAGGGCATGCTCTGCAAAGTTCACACATTTTAACTCGCAGTGGAATCACTTCTTTCATATGGCAAATAATCCTCTCAAACTTAGGCAAGGAAATAGGGAAAATGTATTAACATAACCCCACTTGGAACCATAAGAATGAGTGTAGTTACCAGTAAATAGTTTCCCACAAGTTAGCCAAGCTTTTAGACAACATTACTCTTGTTTCAATATGAGCTCACCTGGAACTCTGGTATCTGTGTGAAGAAATGTTTGAGCAGCACCAGCATGTCTGAGGCCACAGTGGAGACGTTGGTGGCAAAGCCGTCGGGCCGTTCAGCGTAGCTAAAGCCGGTGCCCACTGGGTTATCCACAAACAACACACTGGCTGCCTGCACCTACACAACACAGCATAGAGCACACACAAAGTTTTTTGTCCATTATTTTAGGTTTTATTTTGTAGCTGGCTAGCATGGATTGCACAAAGGAACAGAGCAGCCTTTGACCTATAAATTGCTCATCCATATTTTTCTAGGTGCTTTATGAAATTGCTTAAATGTAGCATGGAATACAACTTCAACTAAACTATTATCAAAACACACAAAACTTCCACTTCGAAGTTTTAGCGTACATGCAAAATGCAACCTGTGTAAGAAACCTATCACTATGCCAAAACAAAAAAACTAAAAAATACCACATCATCTCTATTGTGAAACATGGACCTTAAACCAGTGGAGAAACTTTCTGGCTTTACACACTGGTATAATCATAGCAGCATGGAATCAGAGTAAAATCTGTATGATATAATCTGTAATTGTAACATGACAAACTGTTGAAATTATAAAAATATTTCAGAAAAATCACTGAAAATCACAGAAAAGCATTGATATCAGAATATCGGCATCAATATTATGTTATCGGCATCAATATTACCCAGCTCGTCTTCCTGGGCTCCAGGTCTCTGTTCAGTGGTCCAATTTCTTCAAAGTTACCAAAGCCACTCCCTGATCCTCCTGGTCCACCCTGAAAACACAGAGCACAGCCATGTTAATTTTATAACAGATTCTCTTTGTTTTTGGTTTTTTTTATCCATTTCTGAACTTTTGCATCGTCCACAGAGTATTTCTTAGGACTTGAGCTGCCAGGTCAAATGTTTGTCCTGAATATGGATTGACAAAAGTGAGTCACACTGAAGAAAGAACAGGAACGTGTGCATCTTTTATCCAAGAGATGTAGCACCTTCACAACAGTTTCAGGGAAACTTTGACATTGCTGGTGGATGGTTACCGTACTTCCTCCTCTGTGGCCACTAATAGAAGCATCTTTGGTGTTACTCATCAGGTGATGTCATGTTCACTTCCACCAACAAACATGTTAAATTCAGTTCTTCCATGGATCACAAACTACATGAGCCATTCAACTGAATAGCACTGATGGATGCATTCTTTTACATATTCAATAAATTCTAATTATTATTGCATTTTTGAAGTATTTCTGTTGTCCACACACTGGTGTTTCAAGCTTTTATTTCTGCTAATTGTTGCTTTTTTTCTGCTTACATCTTTAGAATATGACAGACCATTGAAAACATAACATTTTTCTTACAGGCGATATTATGCTTATGATACATGTAATATTATGCTTAGGGTAAAGTATTTAGCATTAAGTGTACTTTGAATCTGGTCAATGAGCCTCATGTGAATGCAGATTCTAATTTATGAAATATGACTAGATATGAAAAAAAAACATCCTTCTTTTTCATCTAAGGTCACTCAGACCAATACGCTGAAATACAGGTTTAGGTTTTATTTTGTACCTGCAGCCACATGACCAGCGGCAGGTCGTGATACTGAGCAGACGGACTGTCAGCATAATAAAGCCACCAGAACATGTGGGCCCCGGGCCTCACTTCCACATAGTCCCAGACTTCTTTACCCGCCAGCGGGGAGGGAAGACCTGCGAACAACACACGCACATGTCCACATTATTCCTGGATCTACATGGACCACAATTAACTCAAATATGTTCTCATTCAGAAAGTTCTTCACAATGATTCCACTTTCGGTTTGCAGTCAGTGGGGTCAATGATGGTCAGAAAACATCATCTCCTACCTGGCAGGTTCTGGTTGGGGGAACCAATCCAGAAAGCTTACCTTGGGAGATGAGAACAGAGAGAAACCAGAGGAGAGATCCGAACCGAGACATTGTTTCAGCCGCTCTGCTCTGATTCAGGACAGAAATCACATGACAGCAGCCCAGTCAGCTGACAACCACATGGGTTGGGGGAGGGAGGTTCCGGTTGGTGTGTGTCTAGTGACGTATCTACAGGCCGACAGCTGGTTCGTCTGAAATAAAGTCACTGAACGGAACAGCTTGAGGTTCGTGGCCAACTCCAGTTCTAGAGAACTACCGCCCTTGCAGCTGTTAAATGCGCCCCTTCTTCATCCCACCTGAATCAGATGGTTGAAATCTGAATAAAATAAAGACAAACAAATGGCAAGAAAAAGTCCAAGCCACGACCAGAACCCCGTCTTCTCTCAGCAGTCTGCTCTCTGGTTCTGGCTGCAAACCACCGGGTTTTTACCCCACCTTATTATTTTTCTGTAAATTTCCCGCATACAAGTGCATACTATTAACCATTTCACAAACACCACACATAAAAATGTGTTCAAAAAGTTAGTTAGTGTTCTGTAAACAGCAGAACTCAGAGACGAGCATGAGATGACTATTACCACTCCCGGCCTCTAGGGGGCAGTAAGTGAGAGGTGGAGATTTATTTTGAAAGGTTCAAGCGGAAGTTGTGGTTGAGTTAGCCAGGGAGCGCGTGAATGGAACGTTTTGGCGTCATGGCTGCGCACCGCAACAAGTTTATTCGCCTCCGCTTGTTTTTTGACTACCCGCCCCCGGCCGTCGTGGGGTGCCGCATGTGCTGGCTGCTCGTGGACCTGAACACGTGCCGCGTGGTGGCAGACCTGGAGAGCGTCATCCGGGAGAAGTTTGAGTTCAGCCGCAGCAGCATCCTGAGCCTGTTCATAGAGGACTGCTACCTGCCGCACACGGAGAGCATCTACGTGGTGCGGGACAACGACAACGTCAGGTGCGTGTTCAGTTCAGGTGTCACTGGGCGAGACAGACCTCAGTCTGGTGACGGTCAGCAACGTGTTGGTACGAGTGGATCAAATCACCATGACAACCTGCTCTCCAAAGAAGGAGCTGATTTGAAAAAGGCATTCTTCTTCTGATCTGGGATTTGGATCTTTGATTCTCTGAGCTGAACGCTGTTTCTCACAGCAAGGACATTTCTGATCCTTCCAAAATTATTCATAACTTGAACTTTTTCAGATTTTGTGACGTTACAACCAGATGAGACTGATATTGTCCCGGACTATTCATTATATTTTCTTAGAGATTTTTTGCAGTCTCCAACTGTTTTCTACCAGAATTGTTCTCAGTAATTCATATATCAACAAACAGTTGATACCGACTGATAGAAAACTCTGACATTGTAATATGTTTTCCAGCCATACTGTCCAGCCCTAATGTCAGCTCACCAAAGTTCATTTTGCCTTCATAATTTCATGACTACTTGGAAAAATTTCGAGGAGCAAAATTTATTTTGCTGTGAAAGAAAGGTTTTTATACTTATGCACTATGATGCGTTCAGTTTTCAATAAAATCCCACTAAAATCAATTAAAGCTTATAATGTGACAAAATGTGCAAAAGTTTTTAAAGAATGAATAATTTTTCTAGACTCTGTGAGGACAGAGATGTGACCATTTAAAACATTTGTGTGTTTCTGTGATCAGGGTGAAGGTGGAATGTCTGCCTCAGGTGAATGGACACAGCAGCTGTCCAGAGACGGCTGCTGTGTCCTGCAAGAAGAGACGGAGAGACACTGCAGAGGGACAGAGCGTAGAGCACAAGAAGAAGAAGAAGAAGAGAAACGAGCTGGAGGACAGGACGGCAGATGGGTCAGATGTAGCTAAAGGTGATGATGGGAATAAGATGTTAGAAATAAAGATGGCTGCAAAGAAGAAGAAAAAGAAGAAGAAGAAGAGGATAGTGAAGTCAGTGGACAGAAGACATCCTGCTGTCCCTGAAGCTGCTGCTGCCTCAGACATTCCCTCTGGCCCTGACAAGACCCCAGCAGGAAAAGTGAAAACACAGAATGGCCCCTCATCAAGCCCCAGCAGGAATGGAAATGAAGCTTGCCATCAAAAAGTGGCCAAGAAACCCAGCGCCTCTCCTGCTGCTTCAAAGGGAACTCCACACCAGAAACCCAGCCCAGAAAAATCTCAGCCTTCTTCCTCATCTGCGTCTTCACAAACAGACTCCTCCTCAGACGTGGCCGACACTTTAAAAGTCCCGGCCAGAACCAAACCTTTGGATCCTGACACCAGCAGCTCCAAGGCTGGAGCTCAGAACCAGAACCAGGCGTCCAGCACAGAGCAGCCTCCGCTCAACCAAGACAGTGAAGAAGAGATCCAGCTGGTTATCCGCCAGCCGCAGCAGCCTTTCCTGAACATCCCTGTCCCAGGGGCCTGGAGGGGCCTCGGCAGGGGCCGGGACAGGAGGTGGGCTGGAGGGGATCCTGGAGAGTGCCCCAGGGTCAGAGGTCAAAGTGACGTGGAGCGACTCGGGAATGGCACAAAGGAGCCCTCTTACCAGACTGACTCTCTGAGCAGCAAGTCTGTTGTTCTGCAGGTGAGTCTCCAGATGTGTCTGCAGATGTTTGCTGTGTTTGTGTGGATCCAGACAGCAGTGTTGTCACTGGAATTCAAGCTTTTATCATCAGAACTTATGTCTTTCACAGATCTATGGCTAATCAAGTAAAACCTAAACGATTCCCTGCTCCCACATCCTTTACCAATACTCTGAACTACACATAGTAAACACCCATAAAGCCCCCAATAATAGTAACTGGGTTATTGGACCAACACACTTCAAATGATCAACATTTGAAGTGTGTTGATCATCAGCGTTTTATTTCGAAGTAAATGTTTATGTGCTCTGCGTGCTGTGGTGGCGCAGTGGGTTAGCACGACCCACGTTTGGAGGCCTCAGTCCTCGACATGGACGTTGCAGGTTCGACTCCCGGTCCCGGCAACCTTTCCTGCATGTCTTCCTCCCTGTCCTCGCCCTCTTTCCCGTCTGCCTACTGGTCAAAAGAAAAAAAAAGATTAAAAACAAAAAACAAAAAAGTTGAGTTAAAATTAAACTGCGTCCTGCTTGTACTCATCTGTTTATATTTTAATAATTATGTGCACCAAAAATCATTTTTAACAAATCCTTTGATGTAGATTTTAATTTAAGAAGAGAGAAAGTGATGAAGACCCAACACTGGAGTCTGTTCAGCCTGTAAAACTGAAGGTAGTTGGTCAGGTTTAGGAAACAGTTACTACTCTACCAACTTTATGTTAGCCTCAACAGTTTAGACACAGATGCATGTGTGCATGTGGCCATTACTGTTAACCATATATGGCTGAACAATAACTTCTAATCCCTCTGAGTAGACTGAAGCAGAACCCGTCCCAAAGGACTACAGCTCCATGCCGCTGCTGGCTGCCCCGCCCCAGGTGGGCCAGAAGATCGCCTTCAAGGTCAGTTTGTTCTAATGAATCAGGGCTGATCATCACATGGAGATAAATATTCTTTGTGCTGCAAACAAAAAATGGGAAAGACAAAAGCGTTTGATTAGTTTAACTTGTTCATGATAGCTGCTTTATAGTTGTTTTAAAGAAACAGTTCGCACTGTTCATACATATATTATATATAATCCAGCTTAGGTTTTTATCAGAGACCCTTCAGTAAATGTCTGTGAACATGCCTACCTTCACAGGATAAAGCTACTATGTTCAATAAATGGACAAATCATTCTTGCATATTTCTCTTCACCTTTTTCGTCCTTTCTTTCATGTACAGTTGCTGGAGTTAACAGAGAACTACACACCAGAAGTATCTGAATATAAGGTGAGGAGAGTCAGCCTCAATGAAGTCATTGTTCCCATAACCCAACAATGTAAATTGAATAAAACGTCAAAACTTGTTCTAGTGAATTCCTTGTTAGTCAAACCCTCTACATTTGTGTCTACATGTCTGTCAGGAGGGAAAGATTATCAACTTTGACCCAACAACCAAACAGATTGAGCTGGAACTTCTTAATGCCTCACAAGGTAGGAACCTTTTTTTCTTGTTTTTTTTCTTTTTATCCGTGTATAAAACTAATATAACGTAAACCATAATAAAACTCCAGTTTAGAATGTATTTTATTGCATTAGTCAGTATTTATTATTTGATTTATCTGAGAATTATGAGTTGTGGCAGTGAAAAGGCATGTTCCATAAATATGTTGCAGCATAAAATGTTGTTAGGGATGCACTATATATCAGCACGAACATGAGCATTGGCCCATATCAGACATTTTTTAACATATTGGTTTGATTAAATAAAACGGGGCTGATATTGACAGATATGTATGTCCATCTTGTTGCTGCTTATTTCTTTGGGCGGTGGGTGAGGTGGTATTTGTTCGGTCCTGTGACAGCGATGGAGTTCAGGATTGTGGAGAGTTTAACTGAAGCGGTTATCGGCTATAACAGCAATATCAATATTTTCATTTCACTGCATCCCTAAATGTGTTGATCCTTCATCCTCATTATATGACTAGTTATTTGGAGCCTCACAAGTTTTCTTCACTGCTACCAAACTACTTATACTTTTGAAACTTTTGGCCTGTTATTTCAATCAAAGGGGGTTCATTCTGAATGCTTTATTGATTACACAAACTTTATGGTGAGGAGTACTCCAGCTTTACAATGTGAGTTTAGTTCTGTTCTCACACAGAATCAAATCTGGAAACAATCTAGTCTCGCTCTGTTGGCTGAAGTTAGCAGTCACAAAATAAAAGGTTTCTTTATTTAAAACAAATTTGCCTGAAATGCCACATCATGTACTAACATCACAATATGTAAATAATGTAATAAAATCAGGTTTCAAAATGGAATAAAACAGTTAATGCACTTTGTGATGCTTTCTGCTGCATTATGTAATATTATTATATTTTGTGCTGATTTTTACAAAATGCAGAGGTAACTCTATTTTTAAAACCCTAACCCTGTCATAATGTGGTGCATCATGTGATATAGGATCTACTATATGACTTTTCTCAGTATATTGATTTGGATGAAGACAATCAGTGGTTTGTGATTATTTATTAAAAACACTTACTGTAATCTAACTTCATATCATCTGAGCCCAGTTTATGTTCTGTGTTCTGTTCCTCTCATTTCTCTTGTGCTTCCCCTCCAGCTCCTGCTGAGCCAGGCAAGTTTGACCTGGTCTATCAGAATCCAGACGGCTCAGAAAGAGTGGAGTATGCCATACAAAGAGGATCCTCTGTAAGCTGCTTGTTTTGTAGACTTCATTATGTTTCAGTGACTGTCACTCTGGAATAAAGTCTTTATTCTTCTGCGTTCTTCACTGTCTCTCATGCAGATTATGGAACGTTGGGACTCTCTGCTGGAGCCAAGACTCATCATTTAAACATAAAAACTTGTTTGTTAGATTTAAATAAATTTGCTTTTATTAAAGTTAATTTATTGGGATTTGTTCTTTTCTGGATGGATTTTATTTTTGTATATTGATGCTACAATAACTGGTTTTCTATAAAATTTTTATAAATGAAATCTTGCATTCTGAGTTCTGGAGTGTATTGTTAGTTATTCATTTCTGGTAGATATCTATAAATGAATTGTATTAACAATACAGGAAGGTTGATTTGGTGCAGTTCGCATGGTATTGACCTGGACATGTTAAGTCTTCATGAAGGACAGCCTTAATGTCCTTGATGAAATTTAAAGCAATTTTAAAACTTGTTTCACTTCATGAATTGAATATTAGGGTTTAGAAGAGTATATTGCAATTTGTCTTTATTTCTATGCTTTATTTTTCATGCCAATCAGAGGCAGAGAGAAACTGCCTCTGCAGCAGCTTGTTTTTGCAAATACTCTAGCACCACCTGAAGGTAAAGATTTGAACAGTTTGTGTCCAGGATGTGGGTGGTCTGCAGGACAACTGATGGCCCTTTTCTGGACCTAAACCTGTACAAGACCAGGAAGATCAGCCCTGATGCTCTTCTAGTGAACAGAACAGAATCAAATTTGTCACCAATGTTCTTTGCACTGAATCTGTATTGTTTTATTCTAAGATATGGAGGAGTCTGAGGACCCTGGACTTAGAGTTTGGTCTAATTAATCACACTTAGGGTTCCCAGTATTCTGTCCTATTTTTCATCATGTGTCATCTTATTACTATAGCAAATTACCTAATGCTTTTTCTATTTTTAGTGTTAAAAACAATTTGACATATTTGCCATTTAACCCACTGGTAAAGTGGAACCTCATTCTCAAATCATCTACAACAGCGGAGGAAATCTGTGTTACATTTAATTTCCCTCTGGGATTAATAAATATTTTTTTAATGAAACTCAAAAAAGACTCACTTATAATATAGTAATTATAATACTGCTATAGTTGTACGATTTTATATATAAAAGCTTATTTTAAGTAGTTGATTTTGCCATTTTTAATTCTGTGTAGTCTATCAAAACATTATGGAGGACAACATTTTCAAAATCTTAACAGTTTTAGCTCGCAAATTAATTTCATCATGTGAGAACCAATATGTTTAAACGTTTTTCTGTTTTATACTATCGAGTGGTAGGGTGTTATTTTTATTCTAAGTGACACATGTAGAGCTAATGTGTTTATGTATAAAATAACACTTTTTTTTGTTTTGTTTTGTCCGATAATATTCAGAACTCATACTTCTAAAAATAGCCAGCCTTTCTGTTTCCCACGGCAGAAGACGGCGGATGCTGATACAAACACATCTGGGTTGTTGCTAGGCAGCTCCTGGGTGACACAATCGCCTTCTGTTCAGATCGTGAGTCCTCGTGCTTTTCCGGATCTTCTCGCGTCCTCCGAGCGTTCGATGCGGCTGATGTCACAGGCAGCAGCGGCAGCGCCAGTCAGTCCGGCGGAGCAGAGGACTGGAATGATGGCGACCGACAAAGCGACTCTCTTCAGTGAAACCTGACAACTGAAGCCGTCATTAGAGAGCCGCCAACCATGGAGCGGCCGGGCCTCCCCGACCAGGACCAGCTGCTGCAGTTTCTGAAGCGGCTGAAGGAGGTTTTTGATGTCTGTGACGAGGATGCTGACGGCTTCATCCGGGTGGAGCACTTGATGGACCTTGGGCTTCAGTTCGGTCAAGGAGACGAGGTGAGCTGAGGAGAATGGAAGAGACGAGGTGGGCTAGTTGAGGAGAAAGGACTCGCTAACGAATATTATTACTTTAGAAAGCATTCCAACATTTTCTCTGTGGCCAGTCGGAGAATAATGGAGTCCAGAGCTTGGAGTCCAGACAGCCTGTCATAAACCTTGACAGGTGCTGCTGGAGAGCTTCTAGCATCAGGAAGGTTGCGCAGGGCCCCAGACTACTGACTAGCTCCACCAAGATCTCAATACTTGGTCATTTGTACTCTGTCCATAAAAAATGGAATAAAATGATGTTTTGTTGAGCACAGATATGGAGGAGTCTGAGGACCCTGGACTGTATTAATCAGGGTTTGGTCTAATTAATCACACTTAGGGTCCCCAGTATTCTGTCCTATTTTTCATCATGTGTCATCTTATTACTATAGCAAACAATGACAGTGTTATGAATGAATTATATGTGACCAGCCCTCTCAATTTATATTTGATTACTTTGCTCTTTTTCTTACTACAACCAACCGACTTCTTCCATGTTTTACACATTTCAAAGTCATAGAAAGTTTATATATTATGTCATGGTATAATGTTACAGGCCCGGTGGCATGGGTGGGCATTGGGGGGCATTGCCCGCCTACAGAGTCAGCCGTCCCCACCCCCAGACTGGAAGCTGTTTGTTGTTTTTCACCTTAGAATTGCCAACTTTCTGTTATTCCTATATCAATTTGATACATTAGGGGCTTCTGCACTTCCCATATCTGTGCCCTCTGTCACTGGTTTGAGCAGTTAATACTGTGTAATCCGTTGTTAACACGTTGTAACCTGTTGTCCGTGCTGCGTTTAAACGCAACATGAGCACTAAGATGCTTGTGCTGGGTTTATACTGTACCTGTACGGCGACAGAGACCTGCTGTTGCCGTGCAGATCTACACAGGAGCTGCTAGAATTATGGCAGCAAACCAGCAAAACGCAAAGAACTTGGCACAGTTTCCCCCCAAACTAACCGACTGAGTTGAGGAATGTTGTTGGATGCAAGTAATGTTAGCTAAAAGATGACTAGCTAATAACAATACAGCACCTTAAGCTTGTTAACAAGTAGCCTGTAGGCTACTGATATCATTGTCTTCGTTCAGCAATATAGTTTCATTTTCCCCACCCCAAAATAAGTTGATGTTAAACTCGTCTGGAACCGGGGATGTAATGTTATTCCCTCATCAAAAACATGCCAGGAGAGTTGCTTTGATTCATTCATGCATGTTTGAGGAATCATTGAATGCCAATCCAATGCTTGCTCTCACAAAGCACTGACTGTTTCCACAAAGCTCCTCATTGGAGTTTCAGTCCTCAGCCGAACTTCCACCTCACATATCACCACGACCACATGCAACTCCTCCAGACTAGCGGCAGCAACAATTAGCAAATACCTGGTGGAACTGTTAGCCTGCTGAGCTCATTATACATTTGACTTCTCAGTCCAATGCCCTTAAGAACATTGGACTTAAGTCAGCCTTCAGCCAATAGCTTCTTAAAGAGACAGAGACCCAGTTTCAAGGTGTCAGGTGTTTTTCCAGGCTTTAAGACGTCATCTGCAGGTAATCTTATCAGTGATGGTCTTGGGGACAGCATTTAAAAAAAGGATCCTTGATGGACATGATGAAATGTTTATGAAAGATCAGATCCAGGGTGTTTGTTTTATTGTATTTTGTTGAATTGCATTTCAATATTTCAAGGTCATACATCACATGTATGTTACCTGTTAATCTTTAGGAGAACATTAGCTTCTTCTGTTTCCTTTAATTTGCTTTTTGTAAGTAAAACATATAAAAATAAAAAGTCACATAACAGAGAAACGTATTCAGAGATCAAATGTATGTCAGGTGAGAGAGTCGTGTATGAAAGCTTTTGGATCTACATCCATGTTGTGTAAGCGTTCTGAGACTACTGCTTGAGTTAAGCAAATTTTATGAGAAACCTCATAATGGATGTTGTTTTACTTTGTATACAAAAAGGAATGTATTATTGCTGTAATACATTTACATTTAGGATTCAGTTTTTATCGAGCAACCTTTAAATTAGCTGAGTGACAGAGACACATTGCTCAGCAGCATGTCTATATCAATTCATGAAAGCTTTACAATTGTCAGGTTTTGGTGATAAATTTTGATCACGGTGCGTTCAAAGGAAATGCGAACCGCTATTCCGTTTACAGAAAAGTGAACCTGTCTGTTGTTGCAGGTCAAAAAGCTGACTAAGCATCTGTGCCCCAATGCTCACGGCAAAATCAACTTTAAAGAGTTCTGCCATGCAGTGTTCGCTATCAAAGGTAAGACCACTTCTGTCGCTAATGATTCTCTGATGACTTCCATCTGTATTTATTATATATTATTAAATAATAAGCACCAAGTTGTAGCTTTAGTTTACAATCACCATAAAAATAAAAAATAAAAATGAAAAAGTCCACCCTCCTTTTGGATGAGGAAGACAGTCAGAGGCTGAAAACAACAGCACAGCACAGCCCTGGTTTGACCAGTTTGACATGCATCCTTGTTGTCCTGGGAGCAAAGCAGGGAACATGTGAATGATGTTGGGTAATAAATGGCTTTTGGGTAGCATCAGGATAGCCGCAAAAATCTCACAAGCATGCTGTAACTACGATAAATGATCAATGTTAAGAAATGTAAAGGATGTAAAGGTCTTTTTTTTTATTTTTTGTTCAGAAAATAAAAACCTGTGTGAGCTCTGGAGCATTTTGGTGCTGGAGTTTAGTGTGTGTGGAATCCTAAATGTTGCACAGGGTGCACAGAAATGGGATTTTGGACTTCAGATCGTCACCTTAATTTGAAATAACTATACTAAAGGAAAGCAGTCTTGCTTTCCTTTAGTATGTGTGTGTACATTAAGCGTGTGTACATTAAGCTGTGCAGCCTATTGTACTTACACTATTACCTCTTCTTACATTTCTGAAAAGTAATTCCTTTAACTCCACCTTGTTCCTCTTCTATTCTTCCGTTGCTGCTGCAGGTTTTGAGGAAATATTAAAGATGGCGGTTATCCCTCGGAGTCAGACATCCCAGCACCAGTCAGTCACAGACAACGGCTACGTTTATCAGGTAAAACCTTTGTGCTAATGATCCAAATTTAAGAAAACACAGCTATGGGACACAGAAATGAAACACTTTATCCTCAGAGTGCTTGTCTTCTTTCAAACACGTCAACTGGAGCATCCGCTGGATCTGCATCATGACGGTTCAGTACAATGATGGCCCGTATCAGACTGCTGCTAGGTTAGGAGTATGTTTGAACACCAACATCTATCTGACTCTTAAAGGATAAAGTTAATGTGAAGTGACTGTAAAACATGATGTTTTCGCTGTGGTGTGATGGTTGCTCAGCCCTGCAAGAGTTCAACTCAGCTACACAGTTGCTTAGCAACAGGAGGACAAGTGAGACAGACGGAGGTGTTCTGACAAAGATCCTCTAACAAAGTGATGCAACAATTGTTCAAGTGTTGTAAATGTTGGCATGAATGAATAAATGAGTGTATTGGTTATACATCTGGAAATTGTTATTGGTAATAGTGAGTAAAAATTAGAAATAAAAAGTATAATCACTTCCAGCGATTAAATTGGGTGTGAAACTAAAGATCATGCACGAAGTTGTCAAATCGTGCATGAGTGTGCTGCTGAGATGCAAACATTTTAATGAAGAAATCTCATTTTCTGTCAGATTGTTGGAAATTCCTTGTCTCTCTAACATTATGCAGGACCACATGCAAAAGCCACACATTTTAACCAAAGGTGTTTCACAGCGCTCGGATGATTTCATTTGTTTTGATGAGAGTCGCCAAGTAAATTACTATCAGGCTCACAAAAATGTTTTCTAAGAGTTTTTTTCTCAGAAATATTCAGAAATGTGATCTCTGAATCTTTCACTTAGCTTCCATATTTTAAACAAATATGGCTGAACATAGACCTTAAAAATGATCCCATTATGATGTAACCACTGAAAGCTTTTTGGATGCTCTGTCTAGATGAACTGGTGTTGAACAACCACTACAAATATAATTATTGATGATATCTGAGCCTAACTCTGACCTGCAGCTTTGTTGTTAAGACAGTATCAGTCTCTGTTCTGGGACACGTATATAATGCTCATATTGGCTAATGAGAAATGGAAAGCTAAAGTGTAGCCAATAACCTAAAAAGCATTGACTTTATGGAAGTTACCCTTCAGTTATGTCGCTCCAGTTTCTCTATTAATCTCTAAATATGATACAGAACAGACCTTCCTGGCTAATTTACTATGTCTATTCTAATATCTGATAAATTTTTCATGCATTTTGTAAATATAAAAATAGAGCATTTACAGCATTTTGTAGTTTGTTATGTGCCACACACCTATTCATCACAAACAAAATATGCATTAATGTCTAGAAAGCAGTCCAGTAGTGAAAACTGTCCAGCATTTTCTTAACAAAGCAAACATAGCCTTATAATAGTCAAATAAAACCCAAAGGAAGCAGTTATAAATATGAAAGTCCTTTGTTGCATTAGATTGGGCGTGGCCTTCAGCAGAGTGAGCCCAGACAGATACATGAATTATTAATGTTTGTATCTGGGGTGTACTCAGTGCTACCCTATCTGATAAACGAACAGATTAATAACTCATCAAATGAATATAGTGATGTTGCCATAACCAAACAATAACTGGAACTACAGCATCATCATCAACTTTGATCCAATTTGAAGTGAAGTCAGCTTTAAGCCAGTTTTTTCTGAAATAAATTTGGGTCGTCAATTATGCCAAACTGCGGCAGGTCATTGCAGATGAGTCTAAAATCCATAAACCATCAATAGCTTCCAGCTTTGATGGTTTATGGATCCATGAACCACCACAAAAAACTCTGGCATTAAACAGACTCAGACCACAGGAAAAGTATTGATGTAGCAATATATTTAATTTTGTATGTTTGCAGAATGGTGAGGTGCAGCTCGGCCCTCCTATCATCACATGTACGCGATCTTACCCAGAATGCAGCGTGTACAACGTGAGGCGTGGAGCTGAGGCAGAGTGTGACATGGACGGCGTTGCTGAAAACACCCACAGCTCTGACTCCCAAGAGACATCACAGGACGGGTCAGTTCCAAAAACACGTGACCGTTTGGAACTTTGCAAAGCGTGTCCTGACTGAAGCTGTTGCTGTGCAGCCACAGACACGTGACTGGATCGGTGTCGGCCCCTGCTGTCCCCAGAGAAGAGCAGTTTGAGGACTATGGTGAGGGGGTGGATGTAGACTTCAGCCCCAGCAGTCCTTGCCCTGAAGACGACAGCAGGACCAATGGCTTCTCAGACCTGGGTTCCTCACTCCCTTCCAGGTTTGGATTTTGTCTGGAAATACAAACAAGTCACAATCTATAATTTGGTCAAAAATAATTCTGAACAAATTTGTTAGAATGAAAGCTAAAAAAGGACTGCGAGCAACTGTGACTCCATTCCATCTGGAACTGTTGAAAAGTTGCGTAGCAGACGCTGTGATGCTGAAGCATAGGGCAGCTTTAAGGGAGGAAGGTGTTGGTCACTTTTAACACACTGCAGCCTGAATAAGCACCAAGCAGCTCCTCAGATGTTGTAATAAGTCAATTCAATTTTCCTCTAAATGTCTACCTACATAACAGCATAATGTAAACAAAGTTTTGTGCACATTTGTAATGGAGACGCTGCTGTCAATGATAAAAAAAATCTTAGAGCCTTTCTTCTGTTACTTTTACTGTTTACCATGACTTTCTTCACCTGTTTCTCTCTTTTTTGAGTAAAAATTACTGTTTGATTTGTTTTGTTGGGACGTGTGGAAGGTTTTGCCTGGTTTATTGGTCCTGTGTTATGCATTGATCTTGTTTTTCCAAACACAGTGCTGGTCATACTCCTCAGAAGATGCAGCAGCTGTACCACAGCGATCTGCTCGACATCTACTGTTCTCAGTGCTGCAAGAAAGTGAATCTTCTCAATGACCTGGAGGCTCGTCTTCGAAACCTCAAGGCAAACAGGTAGACAAAAACAGAAAATTGCATTGCGTTCACATTTTTGATTGTAGATTTATTTTTAACCAGAATCACTACCATAACACCATGACTGCTGACTCAGCATTATCTTCACAGATTTACTGTAGGAGATGTGAAGCCATCAACACTAAACCCATGTTATGCATTTATCACTCCAAATTAAGCCACACTTGTGTCTAAGGTAACTAATTTCAGACCAGGTACGATGAGTGGTTGCAAGATGTGTGAGTCATTGCAGTACTTGCTAAACTCATATCGGAAGGGAATTGAAACATAAATTGTTGACTGCAGAATAGTCATTTTAAGACTAACATAAAGACTAGAGTGGTTGTAGTTGTCAGAGCAGCATTGTTCTCTTTTTTAAAGCAGGCCATTTAAAACCTGTCAGGTTTTAGCTTGACTCACATTCTGCTTTGTGTTCCAGCCCTAACAGGAAGATCTCCAGCACAGCGTTTGGACGGTGAGTGACCCTGAGGAGATAACCTTACCTTTTTGTTGCAGATGTGAGATGCAGCAGTGTTCTCTGTGTAATGAGTGATCAGGTATTTTTGTCTTGGTGTCTTCAGTCAGCTGTTCCAGGCCAACCTTGGTGTTTTTGGCTCTAGTCAGGGCAGCAGCACAGAGGACCTGTTCACAGACAGCATTGACTCCTGTGACCTTGACATCACAGACAAAGTACACACACACGCATGCACACACACACACAGGCATGCACACACACAAAAAAGAAGTTTGATTTAGATTTCCTCATATGCAATTATAAGACATTGTGTCCTGAGGAAGTTATTTGACCAATTCTGGCTAATTCTACTTCATTCTATTTTTTGAATACTTATAATATTCCATATCTTCATTATTGGAAAATGTACCACAAGTTATTTGATAAAGATAATGCTTTAAATGTATGGGGTAAAAAAAAAAAAAATTATATATATATATATATATATATATATATATATATATATATATATATATATATATATATATATATATATATATATATATATATATATATATATATATATATATATATATATATATATATATAATTTCAGAATGTCAAATATTTGCTGTTTAGTTTATTATTGATATTTCCATCTATGTCACATGGCAAAAACACTAACGGTATGCAGAAGATTCTTGATATTTGACTGAATAAGTAACATGGATTGTGATTCCTCTGCGTTGTCACTCAGGTCAGTTATCTGGAGAAGAAAGTGACTGAGTTGGAGAGTGACAGTTTGGCCAACAGTGACCTGAAGTCTAAACTCAAACAGGAGAACACCCACCTGGTCCACAGGTGGGAGAAACATGCTGGAGTTTTTAGCTGCTGTGACTCATCTTAACTCACGCAGATCTAGTTTTATGTTCTACATGTTTGATGGGTATGTAACGGTTTGCCTGTCAGGGTGCATGAGCTGGAAGAGCAGGTGAAGGATGCTGAGACAAAGGCAGCAGAGACGCTGGGGGAGGAGATGAAGCGCCACCGTGAGGCTTACAGCAAGATGGAGAGAGACAGAAACACAGAAATAGATCTGCTCTGTTGCAGGTAACTGACAAGCACGCTGCAGAGGAGACTGCAGCACTGCCTAATAAAGCATTAACTATTGTCATACTGACTCAAACATTCATTTTGAGTCATCAACATCATCAAAAACACAATCTTAGCTAACTGAATATGGCTGGGAGGCCATAAGCAGTGTGACTGATGCTAATGTCAGTGCTGCTTGAGAGACGTATAACATTCTGCACAACAAGTAAACACTTACTTTACTGGGTGTTTGTGTTTATTATGAAGACTCTGTATGTACCAAAATCAATCAACAATCGGTAGGTGAAACAGAAGCCACTATCTGCTGTGAACTGAAGCTCAGCTCCTATCTGAAACGGTTTGCAGCCTCTCACAGATGTTTTTCCAGGATTGTTTTGTGTGTAACTCTGAGCAGCTTCCCTGTCCCTGAAGGCAGAATCCTTCAGGGACAGGGACATCCTGTCTCTACTGTTTCACTGACAGTATTAGTTTTTATCACCTACAGTGTTAAAAAAAATTATGTTTCAAATTTATGCTTTTGCTTCACATTTTGAATTGCAAACATATGGAAAATAATTATATTTATTTGACCATATTAATAACCAATCTATTGAGTGGGGTTAGTGTGAAAGGGTCAGTAAGCCCAAACTAAAATGAGTGATTTTAATTTCTATGCAAACTTGTGCACAGGGTCCAGCAGTTAGAAGAGGAGAATGGAGACATGAGCGTAAATGTGAGCAGACTCAAGTCTCAGTCTGAGAAACTGGACCAGGTGAGTCAAACTGATGACCGGCCCGGATGTTGCCATTTTTCTACTACTGTGATGTACACAGTATTGCAAAATGAAAAAACAAAAAAGAATTTTCAGCAGATAGCTTGAATAGCACCTTGAGTTATGCTGCACTCCTGACACTCCTGCACTCCTTAATCTCACCTCTTCTAGTGAATGTCACAAGCATGTTTGTTTCTGTCTCTGAGAGTTCATGCTCTTATTAAGGATGCATGATATTAGAAGGTCTTGCATTGGCGACATCAGTTACCGTCTATGTCCATTTTCTTCTCTCCTCTCGTTCACCGCCATCACTCTGACACAACAGTAGTGATTTCTCTGTCACATTCGGTCATCCTGATCTAGTCTAGCTTCCTGTTCACTCTGCAGGAAAAGCAAAGGATGACTGACAAACTGGAGGACACCAGTCTGAGGCTGAAGGATGAGGTGGACCTGTACAGAAAGATCATGGATAAGCTCTGGCACAACCGCCATGAGTTTCAGAAAGAAAAAGAGGCCATGCAGGAGGTGAGGCCGTCTTTCTCTCTTATTGTTGATGTAGATCCGTCTCGGTTCTTGTGACTTGTGCCCCATGAAGCTTTTCCTGTTTAATTTGTCTGGTTGAAACATTGCTTTTTATAAAGATTTTTTGTTCTGATTTTGGATATTATGCAGTTGGAGAAATTTTTGCTGCTATATTTTTACTTTTGTCATAATGCATAGCTCTCATAATGTAACTTTTTTTTTTTACAAACCAGTGCAGTGAGATGCTTCAGAACCCAGGAACAAATCCAAGGTTTTTAGTCTAGATTTAAAGGAACTCAGTGTTTCAGCTGTTCTGCAGTTTTTAGATGTTTGCTTCTCCATGTTTGGCTCTAGTTGTGGTTCTGGTGATGCAGAGCAAAACTAGAACTAGAAGACCAGAGAGGTCTGGAAGGTTGATACAACAACAGCAGATCTTTAAAACAGAACTTCACCCTCTTGTGACTCACCTGCACATATCAGGACCTCCTCTCAGCCACACCATCACCCTCTAATGACTATTTCAAAAAACATGGATGTTTAGGGTTATTAATTCTCTTTGGTTTAAGTAATGTATTTTAAACTAAACTAACTAAAATTAATCTACAAAAAAAATAAATTCTCAAATATTTTGTGTCTTCTGTTTGCAGTTGATTGATGATCTGCGCCGGGAGCTGGAGCATCTGCAGCTATTCAAGTTGGAAATGGAACATCCTGGGAAAGGCAAAGGGTTGTCTGAGTTTAACGCCAAGACCAGAGAGACTGAAATGGAACATGAAGTCAGGAGACTGAAACAGGTCAATGAACAGAAAACACTCCGGCTTGTTGAGAAAAATCCTGTGCTGTTAAGTTCCATTTTTATTCTCTCTCACTGATTTCGTATTACGTCCAGGCCTGTCATGATATCAAATTTTACGGGATGATAAAATGTCTCACAAAATGATCTCGATAAACGATAATGTTGCTTTGAGACCAATAATATGTTGATAATAGCATTAATATAATTATAATGCAAGTCGACAATCTCAGACACAAATAAACTTTCATCCAAAATAAAACATCACAACCAAAATCAATAAATATAAAAGACATAGAAACCAAACACAACTGAATCCATAAATAAAATGGATAATAGAGTTGCACACAAAAAATATCACATCACAATGGAAGTTACCAAGCTTATTTGTTTTATTATGTAACTAACTGCTTATTGTGACAGGCTTAATTGTGTCTGTTAAGTTAATCAGTGGTTTCATAGTGAGTACATTTCATTTAAACATACAAATTACAATTTAAAATGGGATTAAAAGCAAACCAGAATGAAAAGACAAAACATTTCTAAAATTGCATTCATTATTAAAACCAGTATTCATAATTAAAAGGTTTTGTACATTTGTACAATGAAAGGTACATTTGAATAGGAATGTTTTTGTTGCTCTTTGCTTCAGGATTCATGACAACATAAAGACAGTCCAGTGTTGAGCTGTTTCAGCTCAGAAATGACTCCACTAAAACGTTAATGATCTGTAAATATTTTTCAGAATGATGCTGCTACGGCCTACTGTGCTACTGTTTCATTGTTAGGTGAAATTTTAAAGAGTCGCTGATTCCATTTACATCAGAATCAGTGAAGACGACTTTGATTAAAAGCATAAAGTCTTTAGTGAAAAACAATTTACTCCTCAGATGTTTGAATCTTTGCTCTCACATATTTCCTTGCAGTGAGTTTTGATTCTAACCTTCACCCGCTGTTGCTGAAAAACTATTGTTATTGTCTCTGAACTCTTTCAGGAGAACTTTAAGCTCAGAGACCAGAACGACGATCTCAACGCTCAGATTCTGAGTCTGAGTTTGTATGAAGCAAAGAACCTGTTTTCCTGCCACACGAAGGCGCAGTGCCTCGCCGCTGAGATCGACAACGCTTCGAGAGACGAGGTCAGGCGGATGGGAAGAGCGCTTCTTTTTGTTGTTTGTTAGAATTGAACCATTTGAACTTTCTTCCTCTTCTTCCTCTTCCAGCTTGTCGACGCTCTGAAAGAACAGGAAGAGATCAACCTGCGTCTGAGACAATATATGGACAAAATCATTCTGGCCATTCTTGATCACAATCCTTCCATCCTAGAGATTAAGCAGTAAACTTTACATATGTTGTCGTGTAGTAGTGGTAATTAGCCATGGCACCAGTTTCTATATGTATGAATGTTAGAATGAAAGGCTTCAAACACTGAATGGACTTGTCCATGTTTTTTTTAACCTTTCCAGTCTTTATCTTTTTATTTATTTATTTATTTTGACCCAAAAAATGTATTTGAACTTTTTTTAGCTCATACGCTTCACCAAATTTTGACAAAAACAAATATGCTGAGTCAGGACTGTTTGACATATTCTTTCAACATAATTTTATTGATCCACAAGGAAATTATTTTGTCCAAGTAACACAAAAATACAGTAAAATATGAATAAATACAATAAAAAAAAAGAAAGTAAAATAGAGTAAAACCCCAGCTGTGCGCTGTGCCACATCAGTAATGTCTTTACAACACTGACTGTGGTGTATTTGTTTTATATTCAGAGAGAAATATTCCTGACTCCATCATGTAGACGGTTCGACTGGGATTAATTCATTTTTAGAGTAAGGAGCATTTCAGGGTTTCCTCAGGCACTGCCTCCATCTGAGGTTCCCTTTCTCACCTTCTAATATTTTAGCGTGTCTGATCGAACACAACTGAAGGTTTACAAGCTGTATGATATATGCTCTATATAACATTCATTTCTTATGCTCATGGCATATGAGCCTAACGGTAGTTCCAGGTCTTCAAAGTGCCAAAAATGGTGTGCCAAATTGTTTCACTGATTGAGAGAGAAAACAACAAATATCTGAAGTACCTTATATAAGCTGAACAGCTTGCTCATCTCTTAAAGCCTGAATGTCTGGACTTAGATTGTGACACATATGTCACATGTTTGTACTATAATCTAGGTTTTATCTGACAGTGAGGGAAATGTCATCCAAAAGCTTTACCTTGCGTTTTTAGTTGTTTGTGTTTCTAAGACTAAAGAAGAGTTTGTCCCATTCTGCTCCCCTTACTGTCACAACGTCACTTTGTCGGTTCTCACCTGCCTGGCAAGGAGTTAAAAAAACCTGCTAGCAAATAAATCTGGATCCACTTAAATGATGAAATGAAAATAAATGTTTTAATGGAAATCAAGCACATTTTAGACACCCAGGTTTTTCACCAATTCCAGTTGTTAATTCTCAGAAAAGCTCTGTAGTTCCTGTAGGAAACAATAAATGAAACAAAGGAACAGCAACATTTGACACCATTCACTCATTTTGTCCAGCCTAAGCATCCTGAACCGGTCCAACACACAGTGAACCACTTCTTAGATTTATGTTGTAAATATTCTCTCTTTAACCAATGTTAATAAGATATTGTACTCAGATCACTTTCAAACTTATGCTCACTTTGTCACTTTGAACAGCTATGTAATCATGTTACAGCAGTCCACAGTTGTGAGTGAGGAATGCAGTTACTGACCTGCAGAAAAAAGCTCTACATCCTTTAACAAATACAAGTATTTTTGTGTTGCACTAATTTTGTGATTTCTTCTTTTTCACTTCTTGTATTCAGTTGTAAAACAGAAAAAGGCAGTTATGTCATAAGTTGTTTGACCTTAGATTGAATAGTTTTGGTTATGATCTTTATTTAATATTGCTGTACCTTGCCATTATGCTTTTCATTTATTTATTATAAATGTCGTACAGAACCAGTTCCACTGTTTCTGTGAGTCGCTTCATTTGCTCAAACTGTTTTTGTTTTGTGACACAAAATATGTAGATTGATGTACAGCATACTTATCCATTTAATAAGTATATTAAACCTGTTGGATATCGCCTGTCACAATGCACATGTGTTCATTTTGTTTTTGCTTAATTGTGTAAATAAAATCAACTTGCTTTGGTTTGGCAAGTCAGCTCTTGTGATTTGTCCTTATAAAGGTTCAAAACTCCAGTGTACATTTCCTGACCAACAGAAGAGTTAGACCTTAGCCATATCCAGTAAACACTACACAATTCTTTAATTGTAATCAGAGACATAACATGAAAAGGTTATGTCATTTAGAAGACACTATGCCTTGTTCTATTCATAGGACATCTAGATGGTGATAAGACTTGAATGGTTAGGCTTTTAAAAAGACAAACCTTTAGTGCAAGGCATGTTTATTCACTGGGAATAATCACTCTGCAGCATTTTCACACCAGCTTTAGCTTTTGTTCTGGTATAACTCTTCACATTCTGGACCATAACCTGTTCCCCTCTGGGACACTGAACATATAGTTGCTTGAGCACATAAACTCAACACCTTCAAGCATCAGTAACTTGCTCCCCAGGATGAACCAGACCTCTGCAGCTCTGTAATTATCGTCCTGATATCTTGGTTGATTGCATTAGCTTCTCAGGCTGTCACACCAGGAACCAGTGTGCTCCAGATTTGGCCTTAACATACATCCATAACATTTGAGTTAACCTGCAGTAAACTCAAATGTGTCAGTTAACCTATCAGAAGTCCCCCAAGAAATGATGACATCACTGTCATTGTTTAAAGAGATAGTAATCATACTGGATGTAAACTTTTGATTTTGAAGACAATAAAAAGACACATCTTTTTATTATGTGTACATGTCTGGTTTCAACTTTACTCTGAAAACACAAATGATGGGATAATTTCAGTGAACACTAATGCCCCCTTTTCTGATTTAAAAGGACCAACTGTTTCTTTCCATCTCAGCTTTTCAGAGTTTGTTGTCAAAACAGCAGAAGATAGAAACTAAATACAGTTTCTGCTCACTTGTCTCAGATAACATGAGGGGTCTTCATGATTCATATCTGACCAGTAATCCTCAAGACCATTCAGTGCTTTGCTTTAGAAACTATCTAAAATATTTGAATTGATTGTTTGAAAAAAATCTTTTAAAAAATGACGTAAGATTATTTATATTTTAGTATAGTTAAAAGTTAAATTCATTATTTACTTGCTGCTCAAAGTCTGACATTAAAACAAGCACTGGACTACTGACAAAGCTTTTGAGAAGAACAGATTTAAATGAATAATTCAACAATATTTTGTGTAAAAAATGAAGCATGGATAACATTATTACATGTCCAATCATTTATCTGCCTCGGGTTTTCTGACTAAGTTGTGATCCTCCAATCCTGTAGATGGCAGTAAAATTTGAAATATTTCGATGTGTCCGCCGCCAAAATGCTCATTTCACAGAAGAAATATTTTGCTTTTCGGAAGAAGAGCCCAACAAAGCGGCCCTGTTTCTTTTCAGCAAGAAAAGTAAAAAAAATCTTCCAAACCGACGATGTACGCCAGGACAAACACAGGCAGCACACATGGAGATTTTCAGGACAGAAATGGAGTGAACTACGTTTCGTCGACAGAGACCTTCGGCCACTGCTCTCAATTGTTCTGGAAAAAGGATCCGAACGATTCCGGAGTAAGAAAGCCAGTTGTTCCCACCACCATTAGCTAGCGAACCCCAGCCACAAACACACAGCTCACTCTGTTCGCCAACTAGTGACTGAAGCATTTGTTATCACACCTCCTTAGGTTTCTGGAATGCAGTCTGCACTACATTTGGCTCTTCGTTGGTGCAACTGTGCATGCAATGCTAGAGCCTTTGAGCATCCGGCTAACCTAGCAACCGTCATGCTGAGCGCCTCCTGGCCTAGTTTGACCATTAGCTGCTCTCAGCTAAAAACCAGGCTAGCCGTTTTCTCCAGTCTTTTACAATTTGTGTGATTGATATGTATGAGCAGCCGAAGCGCGACGCCGTGGCTGCGCTTTGAAAGATGAAAATGGCGATAGCGTTGACATAACGCATCACAGGGACTATTAGCATAGTTGGAGCTAATTTCGGATGCAGGTTCCCCATCGTATCAAGATGTACCGTTAACTGTGTACAGCAAGGCAGTGTGGTCCCTTGGTTAAGTCCTGTGTTGAAGTGCGTTTTAACAGCTCAGTTGTCAGACTGTGGGGTTTCTGCTGAGCTCTGGAATATTGTTAGCGCAGAGTAAACACGACCAGGCTGCTCGGCAGGAAACGTTAGCGGAAGACGACCCGCGGAGAATGCTTCAAAGCCCCCTTTGTGATGCCAGACTGTGGTTCATTCATGACCGGAGTCTGTCCACAGACGGCAGGGGCACGCTGAGACCCAGGGCCGGCCCAAGGTTCTGTTGAGGCGGGAACAGTATTTGATTTGGGGATCCTCTTCTAATTAAGCCACCACTGCACGTGATGGTTATTATGGCTTTTGCATTCACCGCTGTTTGCTCTACAGTTCACTAGTAATCCATCAATGAGTCCCTAAAATGGATATTTCACATTTGTTGAAGTGGGTTCTGCTCATCATAGAAATGTTTATTATATCTCAAAACAAATGCATCTGAAACTTTCTTCTGGAAGTTGTAATTTAAGAACCTTTAAATCACATAACTGTGATCCATTATTTTGGATCACAGTTTGATGTGTATTTGTGCTGTAGAATGATATCAGTCTGATTTGATCTTCGCTGTGAAACAGACTTCAGAGCAGAACCAGTTCAGTGCATCTATGCAGAGTAACTCCAGAAATAAAAACCAGCAACAAAGCATATTAATATATGTTACACTGTGAACATCTGGCACCCCACCCAACCTGTGCAGTGCTCAGCAGCCTGCTGACGGTGTGCAGGGCCACACGTCCACAACTGAATTATGACATTTTATCTGTTTTAATGTTGAAGTCACAAGCTGTCACTTTGGTCGGTCTGTTAATTGCTTTCTGTCTTGCGTACAGTTGCACATCAATGTTACCTTCCTGCTTATCATTGAGGTAATTTAATAAAACATAAAGAGGTTAGATAGCGGCATACTTCATCAGATAATCTAAAATCCACCTGAGTGTCGGACAGATAAAAGCCAACTACTTTTCCACAGCATGTTTCCCTGTAGGTTCAGTTGAACCTCCCTTACTACTGCAGAAATGCACTATGTTGTTTTATACATTTTTATTCTACAAGATCCATTCAAAAGTAGATAACAAGAGCATCTGTAAAGAAAAAACTCTGATTAATGCTAGATTACTAAGTCATTCATTCATAGTCTGTGTGTGAGAAAGAGAGAGAGAGAGAGACGTATGAGAGTTGCTCTCATGTAGGTAAGCAGGATTTCAATGTCTTTTAAAACAAATTTATCACAGTTCTGGACATTTAAACTGCCAGTCAGAAACTCACCTCCTTAGTTCACACTGTGTGTGTGGAGAAAGAGCTGCTTTCCCATCGCTTTAAAATGACAGGCGCTGGGAAACGTATCAAATGAATCTTTATCTGTCCAGTTTTGTGAACGTTCCAGGTTTTGTCCTGATTGGCTGTCAGGAATTGTTTGCGTTGTTGTGGCAGATTGCACCATTTGCATGGAGTGCTGACCCAAACCTCTGCTACTGAGGACGGGAGAGAAGGCTAGTCTGTAGGAGCCTGGTGAAAAGCAGCCGACCTTGGGCTCAGTCATGGCTGAATGGCTGAACTTTTGGAGGCGGATCTGATCTGCTGGTGAACTGAGATGTTCAGCTGACAGCCAATGACTGAACAGACTGAGACGTAACCACAGCGATTACACTCGTTGGCTATTTTAGACTAAATGCAGTAAATAATGAATAAAACAAAATGAATATTTCAAATATTGAATATAAAGTTTAAAGTGAGTTCCAATACTTTTCCAAACAGTGGGTTCAATTTGAGCTTGACTTTTGTAAATAAAGTATTTTTAATTAAAAATGAAATTAGTCCATGTTTTGTCTGGTGATCCAGTTTGTCCAGAGTTAGTGCCACCTGGTGGTGTGTGTTGGTGGGCTCAGCTGGCTCTGGCTGCTCTGGGCCTTTAGTGGGAACTCTGTGTTTTCTGACCCTCTTCAGAATGGGACGGTGGTGTAACGTCTCCCTCAGACTAAACATCACCTGGACTAACTTTTTTCAGCCCCTGACCTCTGCTGTTTGCTGAAAAACATTTTCAGTGAACGTTTTTCTCTTTATTAGGTGAACGGTTTGAATTTCTCAGGAGGTTTTGTTGTCACAGAGCACTGTCAACAGGTTAACCCTGCTGCAGCGCTCAGATCAGAGACTGCCTGGCTTCAGGGCAGTGTGGCAGGAGGAAGCTGGATTTGAACCCACATCTTTTAGTCTGCCAGGCCTCTGCTGTTACCCTGCACCTTTTCTCTTCCCTGACCTTCAACACCAGTTTAGAAAAAGGAAAAAAATATTTAATTGATTTTAGTTTTTGGGAAATTGTTGCAACTGAAATTAAGTATGTTTTGGTTTCTATTCATAATATTTTTCTTGGTATTTTATTGCCAATAAAAATATTTTATTTACTATATTTTATTTTATTATTATTATTATTTGACCAAACTTTAATTTATTTCTTGTTTTATCTTTTCTCTATCTACGATGTTATAGCTATTGTGAATCAGTTGGGTCAACTGAGGTTGTTGCAAATGTGCTGTCAAGAAAACGTTGACTAGACTCCATGTTGTTTTGAGTTTTAACATCTCTGCTGTTTGTTTTCTTCTACAGCCAAGTTCCACCATCAGCTGGTGCGACCAGCTGCCGCCGTCCTCTGCAGCCCTTTCTAGCTCCAGTCTCTCCTCAGCGTCACTTTCTAGCTCCAGCCTCTCCATGGAGTCCCGAGCGCCCGCGCCTCCGCCCCCGCCGCCTAGTACAACAGCGTCAGATGACATGGAGTCAGACGAGAGGCCGTACGTCTGCGACCTGTGTAACTGCGCCTACAAACACGCCAGCTCTCTTCTCAACCACAAACTCACCCACAAGACTGGAGACTTCAAGTGAGAACTCTCTCTCAGTATCTAGATATTAATATCTGTATTGATCTCAATGTTGAAAAAAAATCTAGATTATCAGT